AGGTGGATTAAGAATTTAAATGTCAAAAGCTAAACTTGACAACTTTTCAAAGACAAAAAAACAGGTGAATATCTTTCTACCTTATAGTGAAAAAAAAAAAAAAAAAGATTTCTTAAACAAAATACAAAATGCTAATCATAAAGTAGAAGATTGGTAAATTCGACTACATTAAAATTAAGAACTGGTCCTTATCAAGTCTTTTTTTTTTTTTTTTTTTTTTTAAGGCATAAGACAAGTTAGAAACTGGAAGAAAATATTTGCAACACACATAACTGACAAGGATCAGAATGAAAATTTTGTCAAGAGTTCCTATAAAACAAATATGATAAACACTTCCTCTTTCCTTCTATTCTCACCAACTTACCTCTGCGCTCTCATTTTTATTGCCTATAATTCCCTCATCTAACAAATTGGGTATTGTCTGTATAGGTTGCTCATTTATACCTCTGTGCTGTTTCCTCAAGTGGGAATGCGTCTGCTCCCACCAGCTGGACCACTGACGTTCTAAACACTCCCCTGCACAAAGTTCTTCCTTCCCACTTCCTCGATGAATACAAATCAGCACTGCTTACTCCTTAAGTTAGTTTGGAGTTCATGGAGTCAACTTATACTTGGTTACCACAGTTACGTATTTATTTTTGAATTCTGATTTTTTAAACATCTCATCTGTCCTGTTATACCACAATTTTCCCTGAAGATAAGAACTCCTGTATTCCATTCTGTTTTCACTGTGTTTCCTGTCCAAGGCCCATCCACCCCACAGCTTAGTATAATAGTGTGCACATGATGGGTGAAAGCTAATTGGATGGACTGGTTAATTGCATGTATTAAAATTTTACTCAATTTTATACTAAGTTTTTCAAAAGAATAAAAAAAAACATTAACGTAGATTTACTCAAGGAATCAAAAAGAGAAAAAGATAGCAGTTCACACAAATAAATGCTTAACTGAAATTTTAGACCAGTTACATAGACATATGGAAGAGGTTTAAAAATATCCATTTTTGAAAAAAATGTGAAAGAGGAGGAAGCTATGTAAACAAGACAAATTAAGGAAAAATTATATATTAGACAAAACCAGTAGGCAGCAAGTTACAGAAAACAATTCAGACAGCAGTAAAATATTCCAATAGGATGGCAACAAATAAGAGTAAATGACTGCATTAATTAGGACTTTAAGCAAGAGACTGCTATAAGATAAAAATTCAGATGAGCTTTTTCCTCTTAGAAAAAGCAAGTAGAAAACTACCATTATCAGACAATACTTTCCTGGGACAATAGATGTAGGCAGTTAAAAAAATTAAAATAAAAAGTTACCTGAAATGAAATTAGATAAGGCAGAAAGTCTAGATAGCTTCTGTTCATGATTTTTATTTAAAAAGAGAGAAAGTGATACACTTTAGTACAGACATTTGTAGAAGGTACCAAGGTATAAGAGTTTTGGAATGATTAGAATATAGGAAGATGGGAATTGAATTGTTAAGGATGAGAAGGCAACAACATACATTTTAGTCTGGGCCTTTGAGATTCCATGTATCCAACTACTGAAAAGCACTTGGTTATCTGTAAATGAGCCCTTCACTGAAACAGGTGAAGAAGCCGAAAGGGTGGTTTGAACCTACTAGCTGCTCTGTGGTAGACAGATGAGGCAGTTGGCTTCTGTGAAGACTTATAGCCTTAAAAACGCTATGGGAGAGTAAAGGATCCAGCTGATATGAAGTGAGGGGAGACAC